TAGTTTTGTTTCATTTATGTAGGAATGTCATATTATAAGTTAACAGAAAAAACAGTATGATGAAAAAACAATATCGTTGCATTCTCACAAAATCGAATATAATATCGCGTTTTGCGTATTCGTTTCTCACTAATTCTACGTCACAACAACACGACGAACTTCTCTCGACCACGATTAATTCAACTCTGACAGCATTTACCACGCTTATTTTTCGCTTAACAAACTTTGGTAACGCTCGCTCTTTGACAACATTAACATATCTTGACAACGTTTATAAACAATCAGCCACGTCCTTCCCTAACGTCATATCATCCCACATTTATTTCTTTAGTTATAATTTCTACGCTCACCATTTCGTTTTTGTGATTTCATTGGTGCTGTATTTCGAGGCCGTATATTTGTTATTCCTGTTATCCATTATATTTCCTGTTGGAAGAAAGACCCCCTTTTTTTGGTTTTTCCCTTCTTCATGGTGGTGCACTTTTTTCGGACTTACACGATTTACTTTAGAATATATCAACTCTTAATTATTGTCCGCACTCATTCCTATCACTTTACTGTTCGCTCGCTCGTGATATATGTCTAACTCCTACGGGGGTCGAAGAGCGAATGAGATATTAGCCACTATACATGTGGATTGTCGTGATTCGTTTGCTTACTTTTTTTTTCGGAATCTATGTATCTGCAACTGTAATTGACTACGAATATATATTTACTTAGTTGTTTATTAATTGTACATAGCGTGGTTTTATTTTTAATAATCATTCGTAGAGTCACTTTGATGTGAGTCACTTGAATGTACTTTGGATAGTTTACAATTAATTTCAGATTACTGTTAATCTGGGGTGATGGGAAGCTTTATGTTTTGTCGTTTTTAAAAACATTTATCATTATGCTAATAATGTGAAGAGGTTTTATCATTTATACAAATTTTAATAAATAAGTTACTGGGGTAATTTAAATCTTGGAAAACTGTCCTTTAATTTATTATCACAGGAATTACTTATTTTCTATTAAATACATTCTATATTATATTATTCTATCAATTTGATATTAATTTTATACGTCTGTTAGCAATTTTGTCACTAAATTATGATGGAAGAGATGTACATACATATATAAATATTTATTTCAATTATCTATTGGCTTCCCTCCTATTATTAGATTATTTTTATAGATTATGTTTTCTTCTTATTATTAGATTAAATATTATCCTATTGTTAATAGATCCTATTAATTATTATTATCATTTATAAAATGAGTTATATATACATTTTTGCCATTATTCGTGATTAATATAATGAATAAAATAAATAATTTTGGAAACGAAATAAATAGTATTGCACCATAAACAGTAATGTTATTTCAAATAAATGTGAAATTTTCTAATGTCTTCTTCGCAGCCATTAACATTGAGTCTTGTAGATTACTCATCGCGGAAAATAGCAACTACAAGAATAATCGCATATTTATATGTAAAATATATTGCGAATCAAAACTTTACTTATTATATATATACATATATATTAATATAAGAAGAAAGAAAACGTTATATTATTGTTCAATTGTAAACCTTTTATACATTACGCAAAATGATTTAATTACTAAAACGACCTTTTAGGTTACGTATGCTTAATCCAGAAGAAAGATGGCGCATATGTAAAATTCTATGATATTAAATGCGTTGTTGGAGTTAGTATCAAATTAAATGTTGAAAGGTTATGTTCATTATAATCGCAAAAAGTAATACACTACTCGCAGTAATAGATGTGTTGGAGTGATTACTAAGGAAATTAAAAGTGATATGGAATATTGACTTTGTAGATAAAGGAATTATGGAAAACTACGCAAATCGTTCACTTTTCGGTTTTACTATATTCGTTTTTTTTCTTTACTGTATGAAAGTGTCAGATGTACTAAGTGCACCAACAACCCTACGTATTATAGATGTAATAAAAGCTAAGAATTACTTAAATTGTAATGTACAACCGTTTTTTTACGAAAATAATATTACATCAGTTTGTAATAATTTAACATATTCTGTGGATGAGCATGATTTAAAATCAACGAATATCCTTTTATGTTTTGCATTCCTTGATGGATTGTATAAAGTTTGTCACTCTAATGAATTTCCCAAGGAATATAATAATACGACTACATTTTATTCATATGTTCAAAGTTTGGTCCCTGGTGAAAAAGAAAGAGATAAAGATGAGTTTTGTGGCAATATTAGTGACATTAATATTGCATATAAACAATTGGAACGTCAGTTATCATATATAAAGTCATTACGTTTCTGCTATCAGGAATGCTTTGATAAATCAGGTAAATTTACTCCACTTTGTGCGATATTAGCATGGAACAAACATATTAGTGATACAAAACAAATAAATACAAATAATAAGTCTCAAGGTGACACGAATGAGGAAGAAGATGATAAAGATGTAAAACCAGATCCACAAGTCCTGCATCCTAGTCCAGGAATAGACAAACCTTCCAGTGAAGCATTAAAAGGAAATGATGATAATAAAAATAAAACACAGATAGATAGACATATTGATGTTAAAGCTGTTGTAACTATGCCACTAGTACAAGGAAAACAGAATAATACTAAATCCTCTATAATATCTAGTGAAAGTAACATCGATGGTATCAATACATCTCCAACAGGCTATAAAAGAAAGGAGTCACAAAATGGAAAAGATGAGGTTCTTGAAAATATAGAACCACCGCCTAAAAGTAATGACAAAGTAGGGATAGGAAAAGAAGAGATAACTAATACAAATTCTGTAAATAATGAAGATGGAGGAAATAAGAATGATGGTAGTGAAGATGTCACAACAAGTACATTATCAGAAAACACTCAGGAACAAGGTTTTAGTCATGAATGGAATTCCAACGTGCAAGGTGATGAATTATCTATTGGTACTTATCAAATCTATTATTACTTAAAATTTTGTATTTTTACTTTTGCGTATGATCCATAAAAGATTTAAATTCTATGTATATTTTTTTTTTTTTAGATCCAAATAATAGACCTGAACAGCCTGAGGATACAGGTAAAAAGTTTTATAATAAAATCTTTTATACTGCTTAATATTTTAATGTATTTATATTGAATATATATTTTCATAATAACAGATCAAGGTCTGGGTATGACTGAACAGAAAAATGTGATGTCTAGTTACAATAATATCAGGCCAGATGAAGAATCCCACTTTTTTACTTACTTCAGTATAATTTCCTTAATCTCAATAGCTGCATACATTGGTTATCATAATAAACAGAAGGTATGTAATAATTTTATGATATATTTATATATATTTTATATTATATTTATCTTTTTTATATTATATTTTATTTTATTCACTTCTGTTATTGATATCTTGGTATTTTAATATCGCAGATATTAGCTATTGTATTGGAAGGACGAAGATCACGTAATCGCGGTAGACGACGATCGAGTACAGTTAATTATACTAAATTAGATTGTACACTTGAAGAAGCAGTTACATCACAGTGTAATGCAAATGTGACCCATGTCATATATTAATGCATGTATCAAATATTTTAAAGCTACTGTATAATAGTACTTGTGTAACATATTTTGTACTGAAGTATATTTCCATTGTAATATGACTTCACTTTTGACAAATTGATTCTTTGTCAATGTTCCACTAATTGTTATTATTTTAAAGTTTGTTGTTGCTAAATAATGTAATATTCCATTGTATATCGTAATAGCTAAATAGTTCGTTTACTTTCAATTTACGTTCAATAACCTTTTCTTTTCAGTAAATTTTTAATATGTATCTTAATCAGTTGTTTACACATTTCAGCACATACATACACATATATATTCTTATTGGTTACAAGTACATTAAAATATAAGTTTTTTGCAGTATATTATCGATACTATACGAAGTAAATAAATATTAGCCTTATTAATTTTTGAATATTTAAGTAATTTTAAACTTAAACATTATCGTCGCCTTGTACAATTAGGAATATGTAGATTTAAATTTATACTTTTGAACTCATTAGAAGATTTATTATATTATTTTACATTATTATTTTCGCTTTTTTCGCTTAAAAACTACAAATCATTTTACAAAATTAGTTTGGCACGTATTGTATTTCAAATTTTTTTGTATATTAGAGTACGATTTTTAATATTTTACCAATAAGATACATTTTTCTTTTAACTGGACTAAATTGTTACACCAAATTGCAAGCAATGATGTAAATATTAATATAAATCAGTGAAATAAAAACACTGATAAGAAAAAATGTCACTTACGTAGTATATTTAGGCTTCTATATTAACTTTTTAAGGTTTATGTAATACTTCATGTTTTAAATTTCATTTTTCTTTACCTTCCTCCACCTTCCGTTTATTATATTTATTCACAGATTAAAGTTGTATAGGTGTAGAATCAGCAGTAGCTCTAGAATTATATGGTACACTTTTGCAAACAGTTCCTTCAATGATATATGTATATTATATATTGCAGTATTAATATATTATAATCATAATTTTTATTTTCGATATAGCATGCGGCTAAATGTTGTATTATAATGAAAATTTTATAATCTTATGTTACATTCGTTAATCCGAAAATTCGAATGCATTATCATTAATGTTCGAAATATCTAAGCAATGCAATTACTGTATGTATGTACTAGGTTTAAGCGAATTCGGTGCACAAAGTATTCTGGTGTTTATACGTATGTATCTATATATTTGTATCAAACTTAGGTCATTTCAATGAGTTATTGTACATTAACATTTATCAAGAATTATACGAAACTAATTTGTCATGATTGGAAATACCGTCCACTTATACACGCATATGCTATAAAAATATTATTGCAAGTGCCGATATCGAGCATGTAATAAATTTCATGCAACAAAGTGAACGTACATTGTAGGTACATACATTATATAATTTTCATAAGTATATTCTTCGTTATAAAATCGTTGTTAGAAACAATTAACCTTTTCTTATTTAGAAGTTTATTTACTAATGGATTTACATATTCTTTCTAAAGGTTTAGAATACTATACAGTAGAATTATATTTACAAGAGAGAAATGATCGTAGTTCAATAACTATGATCTATTATTTTGGACAATAGCACGCATCTTTGGTTTGTTGTAATATCCAATTTAGATGTGGACCAACTCTTGTGAATATCGAAATGGCAGGGGTGCTACCACATTTATTTACATCCGAAATTATACCTGTTATAAAGTAGAATGTCTCTTATTAATTTACTATTTTAGTATATACAATTTCAGTCGTGAATGATTTATATAATCATAGTCAGATAGCTGTAATAAAATTATCAACTATGGTTATTTGAGTGACTCATACAATTTTAGAACTAATATCATAAATGATATACGTACCGACTAGATCATATACTCCAGCATATGAACGATATTGCACTGAAGAACCTACATCGTTCTGAAAAATATATTTTCGTATTTTATTGATACAAATTATTGCAAAGTTGTATAAAATAAAACATAAATCAAAAAGAAAGATAAATTCTTCTCGATTGAAATTTAGTAATTTAATGGTATTCTTATTATCTAATGGTTTGTTAATACGTACCTTTTATATCTGTACTTAATTAGAGAGTTTCGATATTAATAGAATTTGTAAACAATTAGTAAGATAATACTGACGATAAATTAACATACCTCGCATACAATAGAACTTCCACCTAATATTCCAGCACAGCCGGAATCGTTGTGAAAATTTGTAAGATTTATGCCAGATCTAATACACTCGTCGCGTCCCAAAATTGGAAGACCCAATTTTCGCGGTCGACAAGTCTGATTGTTGTTCGTATCTTCCTTTGTGCTCACTATCCACCCAACCAAAGTTCCAACTTGTCCAAGATAAGTCGAACCTGGAACATGTAGATCATAGTATACGTTGTATTAATAATAATACTTATTCCTAAACATAAATCTATGTATTATAAATTGAGTTTAAAATTGGTCAATTTCGTTTAATATTAACAGTAATTGTGTAAACTTGTTATATGAGTTATATACCTGGGTTTGGCAAACAAATGGGAGAGATTCTTCTCTCGAATTTAATCGGCTGACTTAACTTCATCAGTGCCAAGTTATGAGCATGTGATTCTACGTTATACTCCGGATATAGAACCAAAGATTCAACACTAACTGTGGTCGATGATACATCCAAGTTACATCGATCGTATTCTCCAAAAGATATTTTTACTTCCGGCGCGGTTACACTATAAACAAGATCGATAAATTACCATATAATATTTTTAACAACGTCACCTTTATTTTATTTACTAACCCAATGAGTTGGCTAGCAGAGGATAAAACATAACGATCGTTTATTAGAACTCCGCTGAGAAGTAATTTTGATTTCACGTGAATATTTGCAAGCCAGGGAAATTCATGAGTCTTCGTGTATTCCCCGCCAAGGAACCGTGTCTCAACAAATCGATTTGGTCTTCCGCAAACTGTAAATAAACTATATCGATAATCAACGAAAAAATTTCTCGTAATTTATATCGTAAAAAAATTGAAGTGTTTCCTTACGACAGTTGCCACATGTTTTAAATCTCCCAAGCAGGTAGTCCAGAACGCCTCGTGTTTGCCGCAGTTCGTCATCTCCTATGTCCTAATGAAATCAACACAAAAATCTTTAGAAAATATATTTGTATATGAATACATAAATTTATTTACATATTTTATTTCCTTGTTGTGTCATTCTTTAGAAATGACTAGACTTAAAATTACATCTTAAGGATTAATTAAATTAAATTATCCATAGACTGCAGACTTTTATGTATTTGTGGGATATTTAAAGGTACAAAAATGCACAGAATGCGCGTAATATATCAAAATATATAAAATATTAAAAGTATAGTACTCGTAATAATTTTCTATCTAAATTATTGTAAGATTGCTTACGGATGAATTAAATTTATTGCAGTGAATGAACCTCGAAGTGAGCACCAACAGCAAACCACAAAGGATATATTTGAGGAAGTTTTGCAGCTTCATGACTTTTCTCTCGGCTGTCGGAACGATACTGGTCCCGGTTAAACGATTGGTTTGTCTTGTATAGCGGGATTACCGTTGCCCGCATCTTGAAAAATATACAACGCTTTTTCCTCAATGTCGAACGTACTAACGAGTGGTTCCTCGGTATCGACCAAAGGATGCCGATCTTGTTTTTGCTTGTTTCGTTTTCGTTTGAATTATAACCGGTTTATAACCGGTTAGTACAGTACCGTTAGGCTATTTCAGGCATCGTATGATGGACCAATCCATGGAAATGGTACATGTACGTTTGACACATATAGTATCCCGATCGTAAGCTTTGATTTGTATTTGCTTCGACTTGAAGGCTCAATACGCGTCGACTTATCCTTCTACGCAGAGATTTGTCGAGAGAGCGTAATCGTTTCTATTGATTTGAAATAGGCTATGGTTGAGTCGTATTGATTGATTATACTGATCAACTCTGCTTTTTGTGAATTTCGGAAGTTTAAGAGTACAGTAGAATTATCTTTATATGAATCTAATGGAGGCAGTACATATAATAGAAATTGACTCGTACGATTTCTTATTCGAAGAATAGAAATTCTCTTTCCGATTGATGGGCTCAATCGACAGGAAGTTAACCCATTTGTATTGTAAATTACAATCTTCGCATTATTTGTTGTCTCGATCCTTTTAATTGCCTAAATATGCTTTATCATGTTTGTTGAATTATTTGTATATTTAAAGTGTTATAGATTTTAAATTGTTATTAGGATGAAATAAAGTGTATTGATAATTGTTGTATAATTTGTATAATAGAAACGTTTATTGACTATCTTGTCATTGAGCATATTACTTCATTTTTAAAATGATTATAATTTTTCTTTATATTTGAGCAGATCGTGTGACACTCAAATGATCTTTTAATTCGTAATAATTGTAATTAGTCCTCTTTTTTAGATGAAAGATCATGTACAGGGAATGTTTGAGTATTTTATGAATACTATTTAAATAATTCCTAGCGAAGTAATTCGTACATTACTTACATTTGAGCATATTCTCTTAGAAAAAGATTTGTCAAAAAGCAGAATAAACATTTGCTTGTGTAGAAGTTAGTCTCTACATGAATATTAATACAAGTAGCAATATCCAAAAAAATTATATAATTTACTTGTTGCAATGTTGAAAATATGTTAAGAAAATACGTTTTCAATGACTTTGGAAACTAAATATTAATTAATATCCGAAGAAAATCGACTTGATGTCCCTATGTATCTCAAAGTCTATCATCAATAATGTCGTCACCATGAAACTTGTATTTATCCCCATTCAATGTTGTTTCATAATAATAATTAATATAATACAGAAAAATCTATTGCTTTCCACGTTATTACACATAACAATTGATCTTAATTTTGTTCACAGAAACATCCCTCTCGCGAGTGGTAAACTATCCAGTTTATGTATCGTGTGACTCTTGTGTAAACGCCAGGGTATCCTGGTCGAGCACATCCGTTTCCCCAGGATACTATACCTATGAGTTCGTATTTCTTGTCTTCGCGTTCGGCTATGAGTGGTCCTCCGCTATCACCCTTGAAGAAAGGAAAAATGTATAATTTCATCTATAATTTCTTTGAAGGCATAATTGAGAAGAAATAGTTTGACGATTATTTTCTGCATAGTTGTACTGTCGATTTAGAATCTATAACGATAGGTCTAAGGTGTTCATAGTACAAATCGTCCAACAGGATTCGTAATATTTAATTATTTATAATCCTTAATTGATATTGCACGTGATCAATTTTAATTCAAATGTATCCTAATCTACTGCGGTGGGATAAATGAAGATAAATGGAGATAATTATAACCCCGTAAAAGAATTTTTTTTTTGTATCTAAGTAATTTTCTGCTAAAGTTTTATCTACTGCGCGTATATGTCAAGATACTTCCGCACAGAATGAGAGATATTTGAATATTGATAAGAAATTCAGATCTCACCTGACAAGAATCCTTTTTCCCATCAGGATATCCAGCGCACATCATGTTATCAGAGATCATACGTGGACTGTAGCTTGTGTTACGGCAATCCTGAAGGCTCATAACCGGTACCTCGACTTCCTGCAGCAGGCAAGATGGCTTCCCATCCTCGTACAAGGTACCCCAGCCGGACGCGATTGCTTTCGTTCCAACGTATTGCTTATCTGGAAACATTAACGTGGCCCGTATATGCAACGATGGAAACAATTATCAAACAGAAGGAGTAAGAGCGGGATTACGATGCAATGCGAACAAACACGCGAACGACCTATACCTGTGTCATAGCTGGCTAGAACGTTTCGTATTTGAGCCATTCGATTTGATCCACTTGCACTTTTCACCTAGTCGCTTGACACGAATTATGCAATTTCGCGTAACGATTGCCACTGCGTTTTTTCATTGAGTTATGATTCGAAATGGCCCGTTATCACGCGGTTGCATTCGCGAAAGCTACCCGTATGTTGACTAATTTCTGCCTGCAATTCAGCCCCTTCATGAATCAGCCAGTAAATAATGCGATTATCGAATGAAACATGCAACGATATGTGTTCGATCGATGTAATTATTTTATTTTTTTCTTTGAACTTGTCATACTAGGTTTTAAATCAAAATATTATCGACAGTCATTGACGTAGATGCATTCAAGATGTATGTGTTTTGTAGGAGTACTTTAACCGTTCCCACAATTTTACAGCGGGGAAAGTACATTTTCTATCTACATATTTCTGTTTTAGATGTTTTTAAGAAACGATGACCCTCTATTACTCGTATTCTTATATGGATACTAGTCAGTAATAACATTGAATTTATTTGAAGTGAAGACCATATAATGGTATGTGTTGGATATTTTTAATCGTTAGTTGTTTTTGTTTTGATGACCGTGGAGAAGGAAAATATGGTTATGGGATAATTCCAGAGGACGCATTAAATCATTTGTGAAGTCGTGTATTTTTCTGTTGTGAAAGCTTAAGTTTGTAGTTAGAAGATTAATGTAGCAATATCTCATAGATTTGAGTTATGCTGGCTTTATTAAGCAGCGCATTGCTAAAGCCGAGATGTCTGTGGTTGACGTGTGAATTTATTATCTCTGTAAGTACTTGGTAGAGTTTAACGACAGGAATTCGTTCACACTTTTTTTGATAGAATTAAAAAAAACATGTTGATCGATAGGAGAAATGACGCGCCGTCGACTAAACAGACGAAGATCGATACAAGAAGAATTTGCGTTAAAGTTTTTAACATAGAAGTAGGTCAATTTTTTGTCATTCGTATGCTAATTCTGATCGTCCAAAATCTTGTTAAGTTTCTAGTTAAAATAAATGCGATAAATGTGTTTCAAAATTGAAAAGAGTTTTTAAGAATTACGGAATTCAAATGATGAACGTTCTCAAAAGTTTATATTAATAATGCTGTCTTACACACATTACATTTAGCAACTAATTTACTAATTAGTTGACAAATGTTTATAAGTTGTAGACTATAGGCTTTTGTTATAAAACAAGTTTGAAAATTTTATCATTACTGATTAATATCAGTTATAATTTATCACAGCGCATTTTACACATGTGTATCGCACGATAAATGCGATATTATGAGTCATAGAAATTTCTTGGAAAACTACGATTTTTAGAAGAGAAATAATTATTTCGTATTTTCAAAAGATTATGCACTAGTTATTGGCACACTAATAATCTATACCTTATTGTTTATTATTAGCAATATTAATATAAATATAGTATTTTAATGTCAATAATAAAAATAATAATATACTAATAACATTAGCAATTATATATATAACATTTTAACACACAAATTTAATTAGTCAAAAGGAAGTACAAATGTTAGCAATATTTGTGTTTAATGTAATAAGAAAAGTAAAAGTCGCACCTTTTTCTGTTGGCAAACATATTGGCCTTATAGTGTCGCTGAGAGGCACTCTTTCGTTCAGCCGTAAAAGCGCGATGTCATTGTCGAAATTGAGGAAGCTGAAATCACCGGTTAACACTCTGACCACGTATCTGGTCTCAGCTCCTCTCTCGGTACACCTGTCGTGTTCACCGAACGTGACCTTGATCATGAACCACATGAACCTGAAAATGGGACTAGCAAAGCTGATCATGCTTCTCTGGAGAACTGAATCATCGCTGGTAATTTAAATCAGGGATTCGAAACGTTTTGTTCTATGAATTATTTTTCTGGAGATTTTAACACCCCAAGTTATAGAAATCCTGTAGCAACTAGAATTTTGTTTTATTTTCGAAAATTTGGAAATATAGATATATGAGTATGTAACGTGCAAGTCACGTGGATATTATAGAGAGTTATTGCTTATTTTTCAGTGAATGCTTACCCTTTGACACAGTGAGCCGCGGTCAGGACGTAGCGATCATTAATCAACGTTCCACCACAGTAGAATTTGTTCAAATACGAAAGCCTGGCCATCCATGGGAATTCATTCATACGAGTAGTCTGGCCACCGACTATTCGGCTTTCTTCGTTCCGCAGACCGCAACCTAATACATAGTTTGAACAGGTAAAGGTGCTAACAACCTAGTTTTCTTAAATGGAAAACGCAGTTCATAACGGTAACGAAAGATAAGATAATAATCACGGTAAGTTGACAATATCGATTGGAATTTAATACTAAGATGGAATTTAGAATTTGATGTAATGTTGGAGTTTATAACGGTGTTGGGATTAAGTAATAGCGTTGAATAGAAATTTAGTGCCTTTTGTGTGACTGCTTTTTGTTTTAGTGAGTGTGGTTATGTATTCATTATGTAAACAGTACCGATAAGTAACATTTAATAGAATTTTAGTTTCTCAGTTAGCAATAGTAATTTTATTTTGTACTAGATGATATTGTATTTATTATATACATTGAATGTATTGAATATTATAATTAAGTAAATATTTCTAATATTCTCAATACTGTGTAACCGAGTTTTATATTGTCATTTGTAACTGTTATTTTTTATATTGTTAGCAAAGATAGAAGCTGTACTTACTACAGTAACAAGGTGCAGGTTCTTCCATGGCGTACGGTGGTTTGTTACCAAAAATACCAAAAAAGTTTTTCACCCTCTCACCGAAAGTACTTGCCTAAAAGTTTTATGTAACTCTAACTCAACATCTGTTTATTATCATCTAATAGAATTAATATTTCTTTTTTAAAAACAGAATTTGATTCATATTATACCACGTTATCATGATTTCAATTAATTAATCATCGTGTATTATTTTTGTACGAAATCGTTCAACTATGTAATCTGCTTACATTAGGTATATAAATTTCAATAATTGTAAACCATAGCAGATTGTCGCCCATTTATGTTGCACCTAAACCTAAATGAACCAACAAACCTACCAGACCACTAAATCTACACGGTTATCATGAATCATAAAAAGTATTAAAACAATTTCATCATTTTATAATATTCTATAATTGTCTAATTTCAAACGAATTCACAAGTAAAATCAATCGATGAAAAAGTAAGTTAACAAATTTTTACTATTTTATAGTATTCCATATTTCGAAAATTACCACTTCTATTAATATTAATGATATATTACTAATATCACAGTTCAAGGAAATTTTATCAGGAAGAAGATCTTACTTGACAAGTTTCTGAGGCCAGATACAGAGCGACCAATAATACAACGCACTGGGAAAACTTCATTTTCCGTGATTAAATTTAGTCCGTGTTATTATCCGTGTGAAGTTTCACGCGTCACGTTCCACAGGAAGGATTCTTTATTGATGAAGGATCCTCCGCGCGGGCGCTGTCAGGAACGAGTTACGGACATGTCCCTAGTTGGGAGTTACTATCGCCAGTGTCCCACGGCGACTGAGGACGACTCAGGTCGAAGAGGTAATTGCTATTCCAGAAGAGAAGGAGGGCACGACCGACTGGTCGGCGACTGGACAGTACCTGACCAGTTCGGGTTCACGTTCAGGGTCGAATTACGGATGACTGTTATTGACCGTCATCAGGGTCACTCTAACTTTTCAATGGTTTCCATCGATAGCTGCAATTTTGTTTTTTCTCTTTCCACGGGTATGGATTTATCCACAGTTTCTAAATATAATCTAATATTTTTTGGTATGATTATAGATGTTACGGAAGAATATGAGGAGTAATTTGATTTTAATGCTCGTCTTTTGTGTGTATCATTTACAGAAATTGATGTATATGTTATAATTACTATACTGATCAGACAATGTGTTTATTAGTCAGCCATTTTTATGTTTTTGGTAAAGATATTAACTAAGTGTAAAGGTGTCTATCGTTCCTTGTAAATGTGTTTATTACCTATACTATACTAATATATAGATATTAATATATGTACGTATATATTGATTGGTAAGTCACTATTACATTTATTGAATTAATTAATCCAGTATGTTATATACGTGTGATTAAATTGGAGTTTATTTGAATTTTAAATAGACAACATTAAATAGACAACATTAATAAGAAAAAAATTATATTTGCTTTCTCGCATTTGAATGTATCTCTTAGAATGAATAAAAAGTACATTTTTAAAAAAATTTCGTGATTTTATGCTGATGATATTTTAATACTGTAAACGTCTTTCTAATAAATATTTAAGATAAATCTGACAGTAGAGTAATTTAAAAATTCTGTTGATTATATTATTTGGTCTTTAAAACAACTACGTACTATTTCATTCTTATTTGTTTAAATATGACTTGCGACATTCAAGAAAGAAAATGTTTTTCTTTCACTTATTCATGCCATGTAAGTAATCGAGACGCGCCCAAAAATTAATGCCTCGAATGTATTATGCAGATTTAAAGGGAGAAGACGTTTATGAATACTTATCTGTATCTTATTATATGCAAAACTTTTATTATACATACTGACGCGTCAACTGGTACCGTTGAACCGCAAGCGTTTTGTATTAATAATGTGCCATTGGTTTAAGATAGACATGAGACTATTCGATATGCCGATTAAACTCTGGTTTTTCCACTTTCGACCAAGTTACGATATATTTAATATCGTTTGGCATTTATCTGCGATCTCGAATGTGTGGCAGAAATAAGAGCTCTTCGATTTTACGGTATCATCGACGAGAATTCACTTTTAACGATTCTGTTTTCCTCAACGACATTACAAGAATAGTTGTTGAATAACGTCATATTTACGAGCGGACGAGAAAAGAATTTTTATTTTGTATGAACAAAATGTGTAACAATTATTGTACGTATATCATGATTGAGAAGAGGTAATTTTTATACCGAAAAAAATAAGAGATTCTTAGTTTTTATTGGTGTATTAGGAGAATGTTTGCTTTAAACATTTGTATAATTTTAATTAAATTAAAATAATTTTAAGAAATCATAACATTTAGGAAATTGAAACTTTGAAATTGCATTAAAATAATTAAATTCCTGAGTAAAAATTCTCTCACCTAAAGAGTAATTTTTATGCAAAAAGAGATGGTCGCGGATATAAATTTCAAGGACCATTTTTTTGTTTAGGAATTCCAATTAATACAAACTTCTTTACTTAGATTGTTACTATCCTAAAACAATAATTTCGAAACTAGAAATAATTGGAATTTTAATTAGAATTAATGAATTATTACTAATATCAGTTAATATTATTACCTGAAAATACTAATATTTGAGGGAAAAATTGAAATTAAAAGAAATATAAGAAAGAAGATTGAATATCATTTGAATTTTCAATTACAATATTTGAACTGTTGAAACTCATTTAAATTACATCTCAAAATTAATTGTATTAGTATACATTTTAAGCGTTACGTGAGACTTTGTAAGTGAAATTTATCTCTCGCAAGCAATTCCAATATCAATGTTAAGCTATTGTGTTACCTTGGATATAGATATATATACATTTACATAGCAAACGTTATATCATTGAGTACTAAATTGAAAGATACATACACGGTGCATCAATGCACACGCTGTCGTCCTGATTTCAGTAGAATGTTAGCTCCATTAATTTAATCGTGGTTCGACAGAAAACCGTTACTGATAATTATTCTAGCAACGTTCAGCCGCCATTCACGCAACAAAAGGTGTGACACCAGCATACTTCGAATTATACAATATTCATATATATTACATTTTGAAAACATATGTATAAAATCAGAAATTTCAGGGTGCAATTACGTTTTATTGAAAATGTTTTAATGAAAACGAAAAACAGATATTTATTATAGAATTAAACAAAAAAATCTCCATTACAGATTACTAATTTAATTAAAACGTATAACAACTTACTAAACGAAGTTCAATGTTGTTTTCTTATTTTCTACATTTCTTTAAGAACGATTGGTTTTTTTTTAAATAAATACTTTTATTTAGCGCGGTAAATTAAAATATCTCTTCTTTGTTACTATTAAATGATTATTCTAACGTCACAGTTCATTAATGCATTACGTACATGATATAAAAAGTATAAAAAAGTAGTAACATCTATCGTTCACGTATAAAATAACTTTATATGATAATAACAATTAACTGAATCACTAAGTCGCTAGTTTGTAACAGTTTCTTATAGTTTTGTGACTTTAATCTTGCTACGAATGGAACATGAGCAACGATTCTTTTATATTAGAAAATGTTTTTTAAAGATAAGAATCACGATTACATCGAAGATGATTCAAAAGACGTGGCAGGCTTATAACTATATACATTTTAAAGTAATTTTCTATTTTATACCTAATCAATTAGTAAAACCATACTAGTAAAAAAATACAACGATTCTCAACAGACACGCTTGAAAATTAATAAATAATTACATAGAACTATAAAATATTATTGCTTCCTATGAAGATAGTCTCACAAGTTCTTTGTACAATTATGCTTGTTGATGGTCGTTCGATCATTTTTAATTTGTACATATACATCCTTCTTTCATATTCGTATTGATCCAATTCAGGTACCTAGTTACCCTGGTGTACACTCCAGGATATCCTGGTCTTCCGCAACCAACACCCCAGGACACTATTCCTGTATTGAAAAGTATATTGACAGATACATCTTGATAATTCGAAAGTGAGCACATTAAAAGATAAACAGGATGCTGTATTAATTTCTTACCAACTATTTCAAGCCTGTCGCCTTCGTGCACAAGTAAAGGTCCGCCACTATCTCCTTGACAAGAATCCTGACTGCCTCGACCAGCACAGATCATGTTTTCCGTGATTCGATTAGCGCGATATTTCATTTTACGGCACTGTATTAAACTTAATATCGGCACTTGTACTTCATGGACTTGTCCAGCAAGCGCACCTCCTTCAGATGTCCGCCCCCAGCCTACCACGGTGCCTTCTTTACCAGCCGGATCGCTACCTGAAATTATTTCAATGAATTTTTGTGTTTTATAAGAGAAAGGTCTAGGCAATCCTTAACATTAATCAAGTTATTTTATTGCAATTATTTTGTAAATTTTTTTTGTAAATTTTTGTTTTTAACTATCAAATGCTAAATTTAATCACGAATAAACTAAGTTACTTTCCAAGTTCTTATTTCAATTGTTAAATCAATTCACTTCCCAAATTTGGGTATTTTAGAAAAAGAACGATGATTTAATTTAACAAAGTTAAATATTTATTATTATTTTCTAGTCTTTTTTATATTAATAAACGTGTTATTGCATCAGTTGAATTTTTGGGTTTGGCTTCCAAAAAAATTTAACTAACACTATACACTTGACGAAAACGCGTAGCAAACATCATCGGTTGCAAAAGTGCTAATCTCTTATGTTAACATGGCCCATTGTAACAAAAGGTGAATGCACTTGTATATATTTTTGGAACATCGCATTTGGAACAAAACGTTGTTAAAATTTCGATCTGGCAACGTAGAATATTTAATGGAAGAAATATAAAAAAATTGTATGTTCCGGATATTTTGTGTTTAATTTTATATTCTATTTAAAAATAGTACCGAGAGGAAATCCTGTTTTTTGTGCAACATTTTTCTGGACACATCGTAATTTTCATTCAAAATACTCTCTAATATCAGTAATAATTTTATTAAGGGGAATTAAATATTCTCAAACATTAACAAACGTACAATTGCTCATCTCTTTTTACCTTTTCTTTTTATTACCTTTTTGAGGTAAACATACTGGTTTGACAGTTTTAGAAAATTTCACAGATTTGCGAAGTTTCAATAAGGCAACGTCGTGATTGTACGAATTCATGTCGAAGTTCCTGTGACGAATTATAGCGCTCACTGCTCTCATTATGGCTTTTCCGTCGGTATTCACATGTTGGTCGTAATCACCAAGTATCACGCGGATCCTCGACCGTTTTAATCTGAAAAACAAGTGACATTTCATATATTATGGCGAGAAAAAAAATTTTATACATTCTTCAATGCTTTTTTATTAAGCGGAGACTAAAATATCGGAAACCTATTGATGAAATATCGAAAACCAAAGAACGAATTAATCTCTTTTTAATCTATTATTGATGACTAATTTATTTTTTATGATTTTTCGTTCATCATTGGATATATAATAAATTTAGTTTTTGGATAGATTTTATTCTTAAAAAGAAATTATAATTTGTTGTAGTACTAAATATAATTTCAAATAAATAGGAGTCAAGAATAAAAGTGAAGTAAGTTAAAATACTAAAACTTCTGGACAGTTAACGATCTCATTTCAAATAATCCAACAGAGTTCAACAAAATAACAAAGTTCAGAAAAAGAAAAGGACTGCTCATTCAGCATGTTTTTATTTCAATAACGGTCATACTTTACTTTATCCTACATAAAGACTTACACAAGAAAAATTATAGAAACTTTAAAACGCTATCGTTGAAACAATATTCCCGTATTA